TCGTATAATAGACCCAGTTAATCTTGAGCTTTTGCCATGTTATTTCAGTCATTTGTGCAATCATCTTTGGCACTCAATGTTCAATAAATCGACAGACGAACGCACTGAAGACAACGTAGGCTCGATAATATTGTGGGGAGTACTTAGACTGCGTACGGCTCTGGCAAACAAGTGCCTGAAATATTGCTGTTAATACTCTTGATACAGGTGCAGTTGAAGCTCGTTGGTGTTTCTATGTGGAAACTTGGTTGCGTGGGCATGGCCGCAGCCATCATCAGTCATGCGTACGCAAATATTTTAAGTGCTTCCTGAAACGTGCCGCCTGCCTGCCTAGCTGGCTGCTTGCCTGTTTGCTTCGCTGCTGATATGTCTGCCAGATACTGCTACTGAGATACAGATACAGCAATATACACTGAGAGCAATTCGAAAGGATATCGGAATGCAATTCGATATTCGACGTCAGGTGCGTGCCGTAGGGCCAAAHTGACGGCATAGATACTCGATACTTGACTACTCGATGCTTGCTCTTGCTTTTGCTCTTTCTTCATTGCCTGCATTTGCCATATTATATTATCAATACGGCTTTGCAATTGCATTTGCAACTGCCAATCACTTGTGCTTTTCTGCTGCGAATAAGTAAATACAAATAGCTAGGAGCACTTTGTAAATAAGGTGGATTATTTCAATAACAAACTGAGTTATTATAATTGCACATATTGTGTGCGAACTTCGAATCTGAAATATTTAAAACGAGTATAATAAACTTTTCATTAAAAAGCAATTCCATTTCGAACGTCAATTAGACAATTGATTCAATAATGGCATTCAAATGTCAATTTCATCTATGTATTTGTATCTCTTTCTGTATTTCGTTACACATCTAAATTATTTCAATTCAAATTTGCCTAACTCATATACAAACTAATGCCGTGTTAATTAGTATTGGCAACATGTATTTAGCTGAATATCGTGTTGCTTCTGCAGCTTGCAAACTACTGATAATGGCCCTGCAACCCACAAGCTTTGTTCAATACAAATATGTATATATGCAACTAGAAACATTTGTGCATGTACACACATGCAAAATACATATATTGTGCTGCATGCACCCCCCGGCCCGTGCCAGTGCATTAGGCCTAGGAGGCATCCAACCCAGTGGCAACACCCAAGCGAGAGTGGTGAAGCGGCTAGAGCTAAACTGATGATTATTGTTATTGCTACCGCTGCTTTGTACTCTGTTGTTGCTGATATGACAGTGGCAGCAGCAGTGACGGTAACAGCGGCTGCAACAACGACTGCGGCTGTGACAATGTGATGATAAGTGCAGTCGGTATTTGTCTGCGTGCCCAAACTTGAACAAAGCTGCGAAAGTCCTTGCGCCAGCTGAAAGGAAAAGTTACTCCAACGTTAGCGCAATAAGCGCATAAAAACTTCTGTTCTTCTTCTTCATAGGCGTAAAGAAATGAGAAAAAAAATTAAACGTTTAACTTTATATATTGCGTCGCATTAGAGTCAGCCATAAAAAAACATTTAACACCAATGTGGTGCCTGGGTTGTTGTAAAGCGGCGAAAAATATTAAATAAAATTTTGAAATGAGGCAATAAAATACAAGAATATTCTTGTTAGCTTTACTAGGGACTCGATCTTAAAATCTGGCAGATTTGTCCCTCAGTTTAAGGCTTGTCCTTGCTGTTTAAATATACTTGGGTAAATTATCCGCAGCTTCTTATAATAAATATTGTTTAAAATATAGCCTCTCCTCAAGGATTGACAATAGTCAATAAATATATTGAAATATCGTATTCAAACCAAAATGCTTGTAGCTAAATTCCGTAATGACCGGCTCTTGTAAAGGNTGTACACACATGCAAAATACATATATTGTGCTGCATGCACCCCCCGGCCCGTGCCAGTGCATTAGGCCTAGGAGGCATCCAACCCAGTGGCAACACCCAAGCGAGAGTGGTGAAGCGGCTAGAGCTAAACTGATGATTATTGTTATTGCTACCGCTGCTTTGTACTCTGTTGTTGCTGATATGACAGTGGCAGCAGCAGTGACGGTAACAGCGGCTGCAACAACGACTGCGGCTGTGACAATGTGATGATAAGTGCAGTCGGTATTTGTCTGCGTGCCCAAACTTGAACAAAGCTGCGAAAGTCCTTGCGCCAGCTGAAAGGAAAAGTTACTCCAACGTTAGCGCAATAAGCGCATAAAAACTTCTGTTCTTCTTCTTCATAGGCGTAAAGAAATGAGAAAAAAAATTAAACGTTTAACTTTATATATTGCGTCGCATTAGAGTCAGCCATAAAAAAACATTTAACACCAATGTGGTGCCTGGGTTGTTGTAAAGCGGCGAAAAATATTAAATAAAATTTTGAAATGAGGCAATAAAATACAAGAATATTCTTGTTAGCTTTACTAGGGACTCGATCTTAAAATCTGGCAGATTTGTCCCTCAGTTTAAGGCTTGTCCTTGCTGTTTAAATATACTTGGGTAAATTATCCGCAGCTTCTTATAATAAATATTGTTTAAAATATAGCCTCTCCTCAAGGATTGACAATAGTCAATAAATATATTGAAATATCGTATTCAAACCAAAATGCTTGTAGCTAAATTCCGTAATGACCGGCTCTTGTAAAGGTTAAAGCCTTGAAATGTCTTTGTCAAAGCAAACTCAGCCAATACATTACTGTGATTTATTTTGAGCGCATTATAGGAGCTGCTGGCGCCGTGTTGGGGTGGTGCGGGTAAAGCAGCTGCACAGCGGGTCACTATTCAGGGAGATGGCTACCATATTGTCAAGTACATGAAATATTTCAAAACATTTTCTGTATTTGACAAGCAGTCAAACTTAAGCGGCCACTCGTCAACTGACAGGGGTCCCGGGAGCAAACAGTGCCCCAGCGGCTCCACAGTTACAAGATTCAGTCTCGGAGCCCCAATGGCAGTTACCATTCCATTAAGCTGTGCAATGTGAAGCAAAGAAACATGAAATAAAAAAGGAATGCGCAAGAAATTTCATTTCCTGGCACTCAACTGGCAACAGGACACCCTGGCCCAACCCAACCCAGCCCAACCCAGCCCAGTCCAAGCCAGCTGAAAAAACTCATACCAGGCACAACTCGAGTCACTTATTTGGCTTTAACATAAAACCAATTTAAACTTCTGCTGCTTGAGGGAGACGCTTCTGGTGAACAATCGACACGCGGCTTCGCCGCTGAACGTTCTCCCGATATGCAGACACTCAACAAACTACCCTACGGAAAGTGATAGCAAAAAAAAAAAAAAAGCAAAAAGCAAAAAAAAAGAAGCGAAAATCAACAATTTTAATTTCATTTTTGTGCAGTATTTTAAAGTTCGTTCTCAACTCACCTGAGTGGGTCTCGGGTGAAGATTTGTGGGTTGCCCTGTTTCCGCGTCGGGGTGGCTCCGACTTAATACGCGTGGGAAAAGCAACAATGGTGCCGCGAGAGAAAACTTGATAAGACCTACGCTGGCGCTGCTTTTTGGCTTTTCCTTAAGCCTCGGGAAAGCAACTTTACCGATGCGGCACGTAGCACTCATAATTATGTGGATTTTGGAAATTAAGTGAGCCACTGGCAGACAAGTTTGAGTATGAAGCCACTGCGATAGCGATTAACGCTCGCACAGATTTATGCACAGCTTGAGTAACAACAGGTGTGGGCAAGGGGTTCTCAGGTCCCGACCCGTCTCCTTCTTAGCCTGTCCCTAGGCTCTAGGCCCAATGCGCGATGCGCGGTGCACGGTGCAATTTGAATTCCAAATTTGTTAAACTGTCACAAACGCTGTGAATGCGAAATGAGCACAAGGCTCACAACATGCGAAGCATAATTATATGAGGACGCTAAAAATAGGTAGAGAACACCGCTCTAACTGGGTGGCTGACGGGCTGACTGGCTGGAGTTGGCTGCAGGTGGCGCAAGCCAAGGAAATTGCTTCAAACTGCCTTTGCCGGAGCTAAACAAACAAGCGGCGTTGAATTACGATGCCGCACGCACGTGGTTGCCACAGCTTGCTGCTGCTCTTGTTGTTGTTGTTGTTGATGTTGTTGATGCAGGTGGGCTGTCAGTGTCAGTGTGTGTGCTTGTGTGTGTGTGTCTAAGTGGAGTGTGCTGCTGCCACCCACATGAGTAATAGTAATGTTGTTGCCTCCACTCAAGATGTGTGCCGGTGCCACCAGGCTTATGAATAAATTAAGAAAAGGCCGCTTTGCAAACCGGGCCAACGAGAGGCGCAGCGCGTAGATATGGCAGCAGTGCGAAAGCGTCTCGAAAATAAAACAGGCGACGTATATAAAAAA